TTCATAGTGATAAATTTGAATTGGCAAAACTTGAAAGAGTGAATAAAAAACAAGCGTAATTAACAGAAATCAAAACTGCTAAGAATGCTGGCAAAGCTCCCACCTCAACACTACAGTATTCATATTACCAATATACGGCCATTTTTTTGTGTTTAAGAAGTTTGACATGGACTGACGATCATTTTGTTACTATCTAAAAAAAAAAGCCAAAATGGCAAGTTTACAGGAGAAGAGCTTTCAATGTAAGTTATTTTAAAGAGATTTTATTCCAAGCAGATTTGAAGCCTTTCCATTGGTCCATTCTGTATGAAATGCTCAAATGACAGCAACAATATTAAACTGATTGCCAATACTAAAATGGTTCCCAGCTATAATCTTAGTCTCTTCAACTGTACGTTTTGGATTCTGTTTAAATTTTGACCATATTAAAACTGTTCTACTGGCTAATATTACTGATTATTTGGGAATTGCTATTGGTACAGAAATATTCATGTTAATTGCATTCTAGTTTCAATACACTAACAAATATATGGTCGCTGTTTACTGATCCAGGCTCAACTGAGAAATACTTTAGTCCCACAGAAATTCCAAGTTTCCAGCAACTAACCTCAGTTTCTTTGCCGACACCACTCTCTCTGACCACCAGGTGGTGCTCTCTGCTTAGCTACAGCTCTCCGACTGTTGGGTTTTCCATGGGAAATGATCTGACCGCAGTTAGGTGTAGGAGTAGGTCAGCCAGCGCTGCCTTGGCAAACCCTACGTGCTCATTTCAGGCTCTCACATGTCATGTTACTTATAGACCAGGCTGAAACACGCATGGCTGTTCTGACACACTGTTTGTTGTGTTTGGCATGCCTTCGGGAGCCCTGAGAACAGAGCGAGCGAGCGAGCGAGTGAACGAGAGCAAGCGAGCAGCTGAAGCCCAAAGCTGTCTGCCCTGTTGACTCAGCATGGTTATACTTGCACTCATTTCTTAACTCTGAGGGGATTTTCTCCCACTCTCTCCCCAAGAGGAGGTGGGCTGCTAAACACGCGGTTTGGGTAATTGTCATTATTCCACTGTTTCTCGTGTGAACCTCCCCTCCACTGGCTTTCATCCCCCGCTTGCTCTTGCTCTTTTTTCCTCCCTCGCACTCTCTCTTTTAACCCCCACTTACGTTGGACATCTGGGTCCAGAGTGAGCGCATGAGAACGTTTTAAGCAGACACTAACCATTGCCAAGTGTGACAGCAGCAATGCTGCTGACAACAGCGTTGTAGCAAGCCGTAAGAGACTTCTTATGTGTTGCTGCACGATACATTGTGTTTTTGAGTTGTTATGCCAGTATTCTTAATTTTCAAGACACATAGCATTCACAACATGTTATCACAATACTGCTATTTTATCTACATCATGCAGCCCTCTTCTGTGCCCTTTTCAAGGTCTAAATTAAACAGGGGGTGTCCACTCTGGCCTTGCCTCCAGGTGCTAGGCTTCTGAAGTGAAGGGGGGGGCTGTAATGCCCTGGGGAGCGGGGGAGCGCGTATGTTTCCTCTCAGAGGAGTCAAAGACGCAGTCTGGGCCCAATATCAGCACCTGGAGGTCAGGACACTTCAATCAAGCCGCCCGGCCCGCACCTTGCCACTCCTGCGCAGACCTGGCCCCTCGGAACTCTTTGATCTGCCCGGCCCCGGCCCCCTCTTGCATCTGATTCAATTATCCCCGTCCACCTGTTAACGGCCAGCCGCCAATCACAATGACTGGCCCTCATTTGCTGCCTCAAAGGAGAGAGTGAGTGTGTGTGTGTTTTTGTGTACTTTCAGGACAACAGTGTCCCTACTTTATAGGAAAAGCAGAGAAGAGCTGGGCTGGCCTACAACGTCAGGACTAACATACAAAAACAACACATCATTTTTGTTTAAACTGAAAGGGCGAGAACATTTGCTTTTGGTTACTGAGGTTACGGTTAGAATTAGGTTTAGTTCTGGGCTGAGAAGATTCTTATTACATATCAATAGCTACAACTACAGTTGAGTCCAGAAGTCTGAGACCCCTGGTGAAAATGCTGCTATTTTCAAACAGTTTTTCATTAAAAAAGATATTATCAGCCTAGCATTTTAAGGAAAAAATAGAAGCTTTGAAGATTTCAGATTTTCTTCATATTTGACATGTCTTCCTTTTGCTTTAATGACTGTGTGCATATTCTTTGGAGCAAAATAAGCAGTTTGCATTCAGTGAAATGCAACAATAATTTTTGTCACTTTTATGTTGATCAGTTTATTAAAAGCAACACAATTTATTTGATATTGACACACTTTTAGTTTGTAAGTCTAATGACCCGGTCTTCATATTTTTTGAGTGTAAAAACTAGGATGTCAGTTGGCTAATATAATTAGTTGTAAGTAATCTCATTAGTTTGTGTGATTAATAATTAATTGCATTAGCTCTTATTGGACTCTAAAGAAAGATTTCTACCTTTAAAAAAGAGGGCAACTTGTTATAGATTTATGAGCAGACCAGATAAGCTTCATCAGAATATATTATTACTTTCAGTAATTCAACTTGAAGCTGAACATAAAATCCACTTGAAAATAAGGGGAACATAGTTTCCAATTTTCATCACTGACTTCCTGTGAGAGCAGCACTGGCTGCATGTTCCAGCTCCTCTATGACTGTAGCCTGACTATTGCGTTTGCTGGTTTGCTGCTTTTTGATTTTACATAGTTATCCCGCGAGCACTGTCCAGTGCAGTCAGGCGACTGTGTCCTCTAGTTCTAATGTTCTCATTATAACTGATATTGCCAGCGTCAGGTGTTTTTTGCATGTAAATGACTGATCAGACTTGTTATACTTCTGTGAACAAATTCACAGCTCAAAGTAACTTTTATCAAGAGAGCTAACTGTGGACCTGCCACTAAAAAGCTGTATTTTAACAAGAGGACTACAGTCATGGAATCATAGAAACAGCACATGAGCAGCTAGGTATCAGGCTGGCACTGTGTAAGGTTTGAAAGGTCAAATTAGGTGAATGCGTTAATGATGTGTTAAAAATGTTAGCATGTTGTTAACAGTCTTAACTTTGAACTACTATTAAAAATAAACCAGTGTATGTGCTTGTTCATGCCTGGATATGGACAGTTTTCTAAAGATTAAGCAGGATTCTTTGTCACGGTCAGCCAGTTTCCCCATACATGGATTAAGTATAATCTTCAGCTAAATTGCAGGGCCAACAGTGATTCACCATAGAAATGGTGAATCCTTTTTAGGCCCAGTTTAGGTCTGATTTTTTTCTGGGAAACTGATCATGTTTCTTTTTTGTAGATTTTATGTATGACATTTTCTACACTTTTTTTGTTTGTATCTAAAGTTGTTGGTTCTTACTGCCTGCATATTATTACCATATGTACAATACCATATTATTACCATACGTACAATAATTATAAACAAAACTCCTAAACAACTGAAGTGTTGTGAATGAAGGAGCATGGTGTAACACAGCTCATGTAGACTGTACAGAACTTTAAGTGTAATCTGAATGATGTAGATAAAAAGCAAGATGGAAAAGATGCTCATGACCTACATATCCTTGTTAAAAGACTGTGCTTTAAAGAAAACATCTGTACAGCCTGCAGTTCCACTGATTTTTCACTAAAGTTTTCTGCATAATTTAATTGATGAGATTAAACAAAGTCATTCAGACCGGTTCATTGTGAAATAGTTCATTACAGAGAAACTTGCCGACTCTGATTTCTTTACAGTGGTGGTGATGGGAACCAGGAATCGCAATGTCTACAGTTCAAACATAGCTATTTCATTTCCTGTACAAAACAACCAGTGAACCTACATGTGTCTGAAATTTTTATACATAATGTTGATAATAGTAAAATAGAGATAAATCTTTGTAAAAATTTGTTTGGGTACTATTTTGCCCCATAATGCCCTGCAAGTACCTTTCTACTATGAGTGTGTTTTTAAAAACAAAGTTTTAGCTTAAATTCTATCTCAGAACCATCAGAAAACAATGTCTCAGGCATCAGACAGCATACTCATGAACATTTCATGCAGTAACTTTTTTTTTTTTATGTTTAAAGGTATTAAATGCTTTGGACGTCTGGTTCCAGTCACCACCAGTGTGAACAATTCTGACTCAGAAATTTTCTCTAGAACTGAGCATTTTACATCAAACCACTCTGAATGACTTTGTCATAGTGATTTAATTAATCAGAAATTTTGAAAAATCAGTGGAATTTCCCTTTAAGGAAGTGCCTGTTTTGTATGGTCATGAAGCTCTCTCTCTCTCTTGTTGATTTGCCTAACCAGGGATTACTTTAATTAGTTGCCATTAGCGTTAAGCATTTGTAATTAGCTCATGAACACTTAATTAGCCTCTGAAGCGAATTTGCCATGCCTGTCAAAATCAGCGCCATCGCCTCAAACACAGGTTCATGTGTGACGTTCTTTGACGATCGGTTTGACTGAAAACACTGGAGTGAACTTATTACTGCTAAGCTAATCAGAAGAACCCAGTCGACCAGATGAGTGAAATGTGCTTCACATGTTAATCTGTGCAAATGAATACCAACACCAAACATTAAAGGGACATCTGAGCAGGGCCAGAACATGACCCAGCACATTATCATTTTCTTAGCACTGCAGAAAGGCTTTGACTGGAAGCCCCACTTGATTTTATGTGGGCACGTAAACTGTGAGGCTGTCTGACATGAGATGCATTGAAGTGAATTAGACGTAGGCGTGTGGAGTCTGTATGTGAAAAGTGCAGATGGCTTTTTGGATTTTTATCCATGATCGTGTTGTTTTGAGCAGTGGTGATGATGATGATGATGAGGAAGCTGGGATCTTCTGGCTGATGTTTGTCTCTTTGGCTAGTCGGCCTGTTTCTTTTTTGTGAGCCGTGCAGATGTTTGGAAGGCATGATTTCCATAGAGAACTATTATTTCCATTATTTGAAGATCTGCTGAAAAAGCCAAAACAAAAATCTGATATTTTTGTCTTTCTTTCAGGAGGAGGAATCTTTTCAGCGACAAGTCTCCATCCAGACCCTTATCCTCTAGTCCACTCAAACACTCTACCAAGGAGGACAAGATGGTGAGCAGTCTTTAAAAAAAACAAAAAACAAAAAAAAACTGATGTCATCAACTTCTATGCCAAAAAAAAAACAATTAATGTGAATTTGCATAAATGACACATTGTTTAGTTAAGGAAGCCATAATTTACTTGTCAGCCTTTTCTAAGAGATCAATCAGCATGGTCTAAAAATTAAATTGGTGTTTGCTAATTAGTTTTGCCACATGGCAACACTTAATTATTTTTAACATATTTTTGCCTGACTACTAGGGTTATTATAGTTCTGAAATTTTCATTAATTTTCATTTTTATTTAGTTTTTGGTTTTGGTTTTTGATTTCAGTTTAGGCTAGTTTGTTTTAAGGGTGCATTAATAGTGACGGGTTTGATTCTTCAGTAGTTTTATTTTTACTTTCTGCAAAGTAAAAGGTTTAGTTCAGTTTTTATTTAATGTCAGTTTTACTTTCGAGTATCATTATGAATGCTGTGATATTTGATGTTGTAGATATTTGGTAATGCTAGAGTCAAATTAACATAAGTCAGCTGAACTCAGCTTGGCTTTCCTTAAAGACAACCAAACATAAAAGGGATCTACCTCTAAACTTTCATTCATGCACTGAAAAAATTAAGTTATTCCATGAAGTTTAGTTAGTTTTATATTAATTTTTCATTTTATTACAGTTAACACGCATTTCTTTTTTACCTGCTAGTTCTCATTTTACTAGTTTTATTTAACTATAGTAACCCTGCTGCTACTCCTTTTTTAGCGAAACAAGGCTTAGTCTTATGCTGTACTTTTATGTAATCATATGTCCCATTCTTGTAGTCTGGACTTTTTTTGTTCTTGGGGTCTCCCTACAGTTGAGTAGTGTATTTCGCTTTTACACCACTGTTGTAAATACAAATCATGCTTTGAGCCCCCCTCATGGACAGTTGTACATGTGCATTTGTTGACAGGCTGAAGGATACAGAATCCCTTTCGTGTACATGCGCATCACACAGGCATATGGACGCTACAGATTACACTCAGGATTTTGGTTGTTTCTATGTGTAAACAACCAAAGTCGCAAGTGTAATCTGTAGTGTCTACATGGTTGCATGACGCACGTGCACACAAAGGGGAGCTGTGCTGGGAAGTCAGAATTCAGCACAACACATGAGAAGAGAAAGAACCATGTCGACTTACAAGGTTAAGATAAGGACATCGATAAGTTTACAGCCTACATCGCAGTCTTTCATAAAGAACATTGCTGGGGATATGAACTCTGTCGCATTTTTGTTGGTTTCAAATTGTTCATGAGACTGTCTTACATCCTTTTATCTCTTTTAGCTCTCGCCAACAAGTAAAAGCCAGTCCAAGATGTACTCTCGTCCGGTCTCTTGCTCAGTCACTCTCTCTCTTTCTCTTTCTCGCTTCTACCGCCAACATCTCCTTCAGTCTTTTCGCAGCCTCTTTCATGATGTCAATGCTAAGAATACCGAGCTACTTCTTATGCTAGCTAAAGACCCTTAGTTGTTGGTGTGTGATGTGGTGCTGTAAAACGCTACGCAGTTCTCACGAGAGGTCTTGTGCCCGCTCCTCCAAAGTTACATAGGGCTATAGCAGGTGTTCCTGGTAGGGCTGGGCGATATGGCCAAAATGTTATCATGCTAAAAAAAAAATGTATCAGTCGATATCGATACATATCGTGATAAATGTCATCGTTATTTCTTTTGATAGTTTAAAGGCTGATGTTTGCCCCTGAGTGGTTAATTGCTGTTTTAAACTATCACTTAAGGTCAGAACATGACAAACACTTGCCGAACAGTGGAACATGTCATAAATCTGTCATGGGATAGCGGGAGAAAGTTTCTAGTGAGCAGTTTTTTTACCAGCTGGAAAAGCACAGCCGCAATTTTTGTAATATTAATAATTTAAGAAAGAAAACTTATTTTTAAAATTATTTTAAGCTGCCTGGTGACAAGTGCTCGGCTGTCTGGTTGCAAGTGCTAAACTGTTTAGTTTCTCAACAACGTCAGCTTAGTACGGACAGCAAACATTAGCTGGCTCAGTACGTCAATGATGGATCACACCACCTTACTGCCATCACTCCTACCACATCCATTTCAGAGCATATCACAGTATTCAAACACAAGCTGTGCCCTTTCTTTCACTTTCGTTGCTTAGGGATGCACTAATACTAAAATATGACTGTCTGAGCGCTGTAACGCACAGCACTGTAGTTGTGAGGAGCAGACGTGATTTAACACTGCTAAAGCTTGTTAGGATGTTAGGAAAGAGGTGAGTTCGCTCTGGGCCAGTACGGTTATGTCACTTATCTCATCACTCGCACTTGGTCACAGAATAGATCACCGATCGCTCTACTCAAACGGGGAATATATAACTCCATGTTTCAGATGTTGCTAAAGTACATTTTGCGACTCATTTCGCTCCTTGAACCCCCCCAGTCGTGTTTAAAACTCGGAAGGGCGCCCTCTCCTGGCGACAGCAGAGTAGTGTTGCTTTCCTTGCAGTAGAAAACGAAATTTTGCTGATACCGATAGGAATGTGAGTTGTCAATTTCATGCAAATATTATTATAATTCATTAGGGCTGTAGTAAAAACATCTTTACATGCCGATTACATGCTGATTATTCATGAAGTGCTAATCATGAGTATGTCAGGCCTACGACTGTTGGTTTGACATTAACTTTTTGTAGTCACCGTGTTGATTAGCCTACATTCTAAACAGTGAATACTTTGCAATATTGCGCAAGGTTTTGTGAACTTCACAGTTTTGACATAGATATGTTAAAAATCACAGTTCTGAGATGAATTTGTTATCCAACTGACTATACTGAGGTTTAATTCACTGGTCCTCAAAAGTAGGACATGATCACAGCGCAGGACGTGACTTCCATTGCATCTTATACTATGTTGCCAGATAAGCAAATGTGCCGAGCACAGTGTTGTTTTTTTTTTCCATAGAAATATTACAAGCTAATAATTACTGTTTAATCAAATGCAATCAAGGGCAAGTAAGCTAAAACACAAATTACAGAAAACACAAAAATCTTGATAGTTTCAGTTATTAACATGACAGGCTTTTATCTGATGAATAAAAAATTAGAAGACAGATTAGCAGTTTCAGTAATTGACAGATTAATCAATTCCTTAAATGACAGTCCCTAGTTAATATCACTGGATTGATAATGACCCTATAAAAGGTTGGGGTTACTTGTAACAATCAGGCCTTTGAGCTCTCTCTCAGGACTGGACTGCACATGAACTCTGAACACATTCTTCCAATTCCTTTGGGCTACTGATAGGGATTTTAACACATGGCACTGTTTGATTGCGGACTTTTAATCAAGCTGGGATTTCTGTTCATGGTTCTTTCTGTAATGTGAGGCTCTATCCCATGTTGGCTTTAGCCTAGTGAGGACCTTCCACTTCTCTTACTCCTATTGAATTCAAACAGTGTTTGTGTGCTTTAGCAGCAGAGAGCTTTATTAGAAATTTCCTAATTTCTCTTCCATGGTGTGAAGAGACCAACCTGAAGCCTGCAAAGTGATCTTGGATGAGCATTTCCTCAGGAAATGGTAATTTAAGTATGAGTCTGGGGTAGCAAAAGTAGAGCCCCTGGAATTGGAGGGGAGTCACCCAGTGATGGAGTTAGCTACGTGGAAAGGAGCAAAGCGGAAATAGTGTGGAACAGCCAAACATCTGGAGCACGAAGGTCTCCATCTCTCTCTCTCTCTCTCTCTTTCTCTCTCTTTCTCTCTCTCTCTCTCTCTTTCTGTCTTCATCTCATACACTGTATGGTCATAAGTAAGTGGTCAAGTGGATCATTACACCTGTATGAGCTTGTTGGTCTTCCCATTCTGAAACCATGCTGTAATAGCCTCTGATCTTCTGGTAAGATTGCTTTGTGCACATGGGCATAGTCGTGTTGAAACAGGAAAGGGCCTTTCCCAAATTGTTGCCACAAAGTTGAAAGCATATAATTGTCTAAAACATGTTGTCTTTGTATGCTGCAGCATTAACATTACCCTTCACTGAAAAAACAGCCCGAGACCATTATTCCTCCTCCACCAAACTTTACTGTTGGCATTATACATTCTGGTAGGTAGTGTTCTCCTGGCATCTTCCAAACCCAGGTTTGCCAGATATTGAAACGTGATGCGTCACTCCAGAGAACACACTTACACTGCTCCAGAGTCCAGTAGCCGTGCTCTTTACACCACTTCAACAGATGTTTAACGATGTGCATAGTGATCTTAGGTATGTGGGCACCTGCCCAGCCATGGCAGCTCATTTTAGGAAGTTCCCGATGCACATTTCTGTCCACATACTATTGGCCATATAGTGCATCTTTTGCATCAAATGTTCAGCAGCATATGTGAACATTCTAAAGTTTGCAGTTGTTTTTAGAATGTCCAGAAAAAGAACAGAAAAGCAAATAAACCAGTTAAAGGAGAGAGAACGTTCTACATGAAGTTTGTTTTTGTTTGTGTTTTCCTTTAAAGGTTAAAGTAATGGTTCAATGAAAAATCAAATTTACAAATGATTGCACTTGCCTCAGATGTAGTCAGTCAGTTGATACATATTTGCTGTCCAAATTTTCTTTAGGTTAATGCTGGAGCTATAAAGCTAGCATTTCTAGCAAGTACTAAAAGTGAAATCTGTTCCAGGTGGACAGAATTTTTTTTTGCATGTATTTATGGAAAAGATTTGGGTGACTGCTGTAGTGTTACTAGTGTTGGTTAGCAATGTTAGCCTTGTAGCTCCTGTGCTAAGCTAAAGAAGCAAAATTTGGACACCAAACATGTCTCAGCAGATCGACATCTGGGGTGAATGGAAAATTGAATTATAAATCTGAATAAATTCTTAAACTATTAAATATCTCATAATTAGAATTTTTGAGCTGCATGAATGTTTAGTTCATCTGAGTGCATCATGGAAAGAGTTCTGGGACTGTGTAGCTTAGCATAATGAACAAAATTCTTTGTTTAGGTATATATGCTCTTTAAGAACAGTGAATCCTTTAAAAGCTTGTTGCTTCTCTCTTTAGCCATTTATTGTTTTTAAAAAAAAGAAAAAAAAATGGTCTTTGCAAGAGCTGGACGTTTTAAAGAGCAGCTGACCAGCTGTATATGTTGATTAATTCTGACTCTGGCTCAGTTGAAAGGGCCAGCAATTACCATAATTTTGAAATGCCCCCTTTTAAAGAGCATAATTCAATATGGGATCTTTTACTTTGAAGTCAGTTTGGAGAAACCTGGCCAGTATTCCCCAGGCGTTCTGCAGCTGGCCGAAATGAAGAAGTGAAAAGTGAATTAGTGATCATGCAGCAAGGTGCCTTCAGAGTATGGCTTTTTAATGACAGTGTAAAATCTCATTCTCTCTCTTCCCCCCCCTCTCTTTCCCCCTTTCTGTTTCCCTCACTGTACTTTTCTAGGATGACCGGCACAGAAAACAGCCCATCTCCTCTGACGATAGTGACTTTGAAGTCCGCCTCAACAGCTGGAACCTTGGGGTAACGAGCCATTTTGAGAGTCTGTGCAAAGCCCACTAGTAGTTCACTTTGACCTCTTTATAGTTATACAGTACAAGTCAAAGTGGTCATTAATCACAAGCTTATTTTTCAGGAGATATTTGGAGATAGATATAAAATAATCTGCCTGCATAAGGAAGGAAAAGGTCAAATAAAAATAATAGTAGCTAAATAATACATAATAAATGAAAAAACAGGGCTTTCTGAAACTGGAGTTCAAAAAGTTATTAATACATATGGAACACCTAACAACCGTGTAACTACTAGGTAGGTGCCTGGTGGACCACCAAACTGTCACAAAATGCTTTCTCTAAGTGAACACCATTTGTGACTGCCTCGTGTCTAGAAACCTCTCTCTCTCCCTCTGTCTCTCTCTCTCTCTCTCTCTCTCTCTCTCTCTCTCTCTCTCTGTCTCTGTCTCTGTCTCTGTCTATCTCTGTCTCTGTCCATCTGAGGTTTGCACAGTACTGTTCCAGTTGTTTGGTGTTCAGTATTCATAGCCTGTGTTCTTGCTGTAGTGAAATGGTTTCTTGGTTTTGAAAGATTGATTGCATTATATTCACAATTGATGACCGAATGTTGGAGGAAACCAGACTGCAGTGGATATTTTTTTGGGGCCTAATTGCTTAAGACGTCGGCTTTCGGAGTTCAGCGGATCAAAGTGTTTGAAGCTTTGCAGGCCTCTGTTGAGCTCAGGCTTCTCTTAGTAGCCTTTGCTCTTTCTCTCTCACTCACTCTCTCTCAGTCTTTGAAAGCGTCTGACGCAATTCCATCGCCAGGCCAAACTCGGAGCGAAATGCTGGGCTTTTTTCGGTGCAAGTGCGGCCGGCAGCGACCCAGAAGGCCACACTTGTTCTACCTTATCAGAGCGGCAGGCAGGCAGGCGATAAGCAGCCGGCCCCCATGCTGCTGGCGGGGGTGTTTACACGTGCAGCCCGGGCCCATGCTGGAGTAATCTGTTGCAGCATCAGGCTCGAACGTGAAGCTCTGCACCTCGTCCCTCTGGCCTGGAGACGACGTGATAACAACCGACCGTCTGCTACGGTCAGGTCACACAGGGGCCTCTTTGGCCCTCCACTTAAAGTTTAGAGAGGGATCAGGCCGTGTGTTTTGGAGGACAGAGTAGCAAATCTGATTTGGGATCAGACTCGCCATGTCTTTATCGGGCTGGTTTACTAGACATTTAAAAAAGCTTAAAGAGATCTATAGATAGTGCTGATAAGATGACGCTGAGGCAAAGCATTTCAATTCTTTTAGCTCATTCAGTTTTTATTAGAATTTTAAAGCAGAAATCAAAATGGACCTTTTTACCTTGCTACTTCCTGTCCCTGGTCGATTCATCATACCGTACCAGAAGTGGTCATTGATTAGACTGTAGTGACATAGTGGACAGGGAAAAATTTCACCTCCCCCGCATCAGCATCCAATGTGACAGGTTAACTCTGTTAGCTCATTAGCTTATTTGAAGAGGGAGCTTGTTACTCATCCAACACAAAACCTACCAATGTCCCTCTGCTTTTTTTGAATAATAAAATATGTTCCTCTGTGTTGCTATATTTTTGTGCAACACCAGCGCTGTCATCTAAAAAGCTAAACCTACACTAAGCCTACAGTCCTGCTTTTTTGTCACGTTCTTTCTTTCTTTATTTATTTATGTAATATATTTTTTTGTTTGTCCTTCCATATGATTAACCAAACCTCTTTTGGATGCTCGAATGTCAAAATTAATCAGAATGCATACTATAAACCATTAACTATTTGTACAATTTGGTCTTTCTTCTTCTAAGAACATTCACATTTTCAGATTTGCCTATATGTCTTTTCCTGAGAGCTACTTGTGACCGAACATTCTTGATAGTTCTATGTTAGGTGCGCACTCAAAATGTTATGTTATTTTAAAATCACAAGAAAATACCCAATTTTTCTGTTTTTCATTCTAATCTCCAGATGTTATTCCAGTGGCAAATTAAGTAAATTAATAGTAAGTTCTGCTATCCATATATTTAAATAAGCATGCTTATTCTTTTAGTCTGCATATAAAACAAACTGTTATTCCTAATTACCTAATAAATCTGAAACGCTCTCCCCCACATCTAACATCTCTGCTGTTGAGCACACTGTTGGCTAAGCTTAACCCAACTGCTTGCCATCGTACATGTCAGACAAGCCTGAACAGCATTCTTTTTATCATCCCACTGATGTGTTTGACCCTGGAGTGAACATTTAGAGTGAGGTTAGGAAAGCGTGTCATAACACAGAGCTTTATAGCATGGACCTGAATCAAACTCCCCACCCTGTCACTTTCTCTCTTGCTCCTTCTCTCTGTCTCTGTCTTTCTCCCAGCTGCTACATTTTTTTTTATCCTTTGATTTGCAAAGACATTGAAAAGCCTTTTTTTTTCCATGTCCAGTCACGAGACCCATCACACATTTGGACCTTCTGGGGGGCAGGGAGACAAGGGCAACATGATAGTGAAATAAACTGAATTTATTGTATATTGTAATCACTCTTATCAAAAGAGACTGTGTAGTCATGTTTCAGATAAAACCAAATGTAGTTTTTCCAAAGCCAGCCAAAAACAGTAATGTTATTATCTGTGCAGGGATTTGAACCCTGGTCGCCAACACACAAAGCTGTGCCATCACTTACTTCACAATTTAATCATGATTATTAATGTTTAGTTGTAACTCTTTTTAAGAGCTCTACCGAGTCTCATACAAATCCTTGTTTTTACATGAAAGAGAATTTTTTTGTAGCAAGTTAACACCCCTTATTTCCAACATTATTTGGTTTTACAGAATAACCACATCATGGGATCTGATGCTGTGTTTTATTGGTTGGATTTCCAGTGCTGTGGTGATGCATGACAGTTACTATGGAGAAATCTCCACAGGTGGTCGGTACTGCGGCAGAGGTCTCATAGGACCTAACAAAACCGACAAGCTCTATTCCTAGGGTGAGTCTGAGTCTCACCTCATGGTATAGATCTTGAAAAATGGCAGGTGCAATAATAATGCACTTATTATACACATCATAAAAGGGAATTTGTACCATCTGAGGGTAAAAGGGGCAAGGGCTCAAGACCCTCCGGAGTCTGTATTTGCATGTGCCTGAAAAAAGGGACTGTTTAGGTATTTGTTTGTTAAAGTCAGTGTGAATCTGAATGAGGCATTTCTGAGTAAAACATAACATTTTTGGTTAATATTACTTTTTACCCGCCCACTGGTGAGTGATGATGTAGTTGAAACTCAGAAGATGTTTTGGAAGCAGACAAAAGTGACTTTGCTTTGATCAGAGATTACAGGGAAACAGTTTTCTTTTAAATGATATATGATCTGATAAATCATGCTTAAAATGACCAGGGACGTGAACCTACAAGGTAAAGAGTCACTTATCATTTCAGGTTGACTTTACAATTGTAATATTGGCAAAGGATAAAAGGTAATGTAATGTACTGTACAAACCCTATGCCAAAAAAGTTGGGCCAGCATGTGAAATGCCAATAGAAACAGAAAGCAGTCTGTTTAACCTGTATTAAATTGAAAATGGTACAAAAACACTATGATTTACCTTACGAACTTTTTTTATATATAAATATACGCTCAATCTAAACTTGTGCCTGCAACATGTTCCAAAAAAGTTGGGACAGAAGCATGTTTACCACTGTGTTCCATCACATTTAATTTCAACAGCACTTTGGGGACTGAAGACACCAATTGATCCAGTTTTGAAAACAGAATTTTTTCCTTTCTTCAATTATCCAACTCTTCAACTGTGCAACAGCACAAGGCTGTTCCTAGTCTTACATTGACCCTGTTGCCACTTTTTTGGAAAGTGTTGTAGGCATCAAGTTTAGTAGTAACAATGAAATCAATAAGATAAAACATGACATCTTGTTTTTGTACAGTTTTCATTCAATTTCAGGTCAAAGTAGATTTCTAAAGAACTGCTTTCTGTTTTTATTTGCAATTTATCGACTGTCCCAACTTTTTTGCAATTGGATTTAAACATTAACTATAGGCAAAGTTAAGTTTCATAACTGACAGCACTTTGTAGATTCTAGTGATTTAGGTGATTGGTAGAATAACCCAGTGTGTAAATCCATGTTGCACATAAAACCCTCAGAAACAGAATGAACATTTGTGCTGGAGCCACCTACACTGTTTATAAAAAGTTATAAAGACATTTAGCTTTTCAAATTTTTTAATAAATAAGCACATGAAAATGAAGTAGAGGGACCAGCAAAAGTAGTACTTTGAATAATGATATATATTTACACTTTTTATCCCATTGTTGTGATGTCAGCACTGATCAGCACTAAAAAATTTGAGTTGTTTAAACCTTTGGTGGTTTGAGAAAGAAATAACTATTTAAACCAACATAAAGCTACTCCTTGTACCATATTTTTGCACATGAAAATATGCTGTGCATTGCAAAATACAGGGTGATTCAAAAAGATTAATCCGATTTCAATATGATTTATTTCACTTGTAAAACATTACAGAACAATGTAGTAAATTGTAAATGGTTTAGTCAAATTCATCCCACACTCAACTGAGCATGTTGGGTGTCGCTGTACTGTACCAGTGTTGTGGAACCAACAATGAACGCTCTGAGCTGTTGAAGGTTCACTGTCGATGAAAATCACGTTGCACAGTTATGACGGATTCACTCTTATTGAAGTGGGGAACACAAATTCTTTCTGCTCAGGGGTCGCCATCTCCTCTCAGACTGAAGGGAGCCATCTTCTGGTGACAGTCAGAAGCACTGTCACCCCTTCTTTCAATTGGTATGTGATTGGTTCCTAGGCACCTCACGGTTGTGAAAATATGGCGCTTTAAAATTGGATGAATCTTTTTAAATCACCCTGTATACTGAAAGTATTAATCATCGAGATGGCACAGTACCACATTTTTTTCCAATGTCGATAACGATACAGAAACCTTAGTATTGGCTTAAGCTTTAAAACGAGCTTTAAAATGAGTTATTTTTAATTGAAGCGCTCCTTCAGGTGAGCATCTTAAAGCAGGCTATGATGCTCAAACTACTCAAAAACTATATTATACAGCAAAGTATCACATAGGTATGTTCTATTTCAAGGTTTGTTGGATTGGATTGGGCCATATCTGAAAGAATTAGCACAGTATTTTTGACAATTTTTGAAATGAACAGAAATGCAGTTTTCTTATGTGGAAAAATAAGTACACTCCTACACATTTCACTATTTCAAATGTGTCAAAGTAAGGCACTAATGATTAGAGCACTGTTAGAGAATATCTTGGAGGAACTGTCTGGAAGATCATGTGCAAGGAAGAAGTTTTGAAACCACTGCAAACTTGTCCTACTAGGCCAGGCCACCTCAGCAAATTTAACCCAAGAGCAGACTGTAAGATGCTAAAGGAAGTCTCCAAAAACCCCAGAATTTCATTACAGGATCTGCAGGTAGCTCTTGCCACTGTTGGTGTTAAAGTGCATGAATCTACCATTAGAAAAAGACTGCACAAATTTGATATTCATGATCGGTGCACCAGGAGGAAGCCTTTACTGTCTAAAATGAACATTGAGGCAAGATGAAAGTTTGCTAATGTATATCAAGGCAAGGACCAGGACCTCTGGTGCTATGAACAGACGAGTCAAAGATAGAGTTGTTTGGCCACAGTACCAGAAGCCATGTTTGATAAAAACCAAAGACAGCTTTTGATCAGAAGAACCTCATACTAACAGTAAACCATAGTGGTGGAAATGTTATGGTTTTGGGCTGCTTTGCTGCCTCAGGGCCTGGCCAACATGCATTCATGGAATTGACTATGAATTCTCTTTTAACCCAAAGAGTGCCTGAGCTCAGTGTGAGACCAGGCTGTAAAAAATTTAAAGCTGAAAAGTGAACCTTGCAACAGGATAAAGATCCTAAACACACAAGTTAATCCATCAAGAAATGACTCAAAATGAAGAAATGGTTACAGGATGACCTAGTCAAAGGCCCAGTCTGAATCCCATTGAAATGCTGTGGAGGGGATTTGAAATAGGCTGTACGTGCAAGAAACTCCTCAAACATTGCATGGTTGAAAGAATTCTGCATGAAGAAATGGACAAAATTATCTCTCAATAGATGTCATAAGCTGGTAGATGGTTATAGGAAACACCTCCAAAAAGTTGTTTCTGCCAAAGGGAGCAGTTACTGAAGCCAGGGGTGTATTTACTTTTTCAAGAGACAAAAATGACATCTTAGATATTTATTGTTTTATTTTAAATAAATGATTGCAAAGTCAAATTTCCACATGCAAGTAAATAAGTAAGTTCCAAAGCCATAATGGAGTTGCTCTGGAACTAATCTTTAGATGCCTGGAACTGTTTTACTGTTATATTGTTTACATATACGATTTAGTGATCATTCTACTTTATTTAGGCAGTCATTAATTTGTGGGATTTCTCTGTATGCGTGCTTCTGCCCACTCCCACCTGAAGGGGTCTGATTTTCGCCCGCTCCCATGAGCGACACTGAAAGTTAGTCCCGCGCCGCAAGATACTGTGTTGGGTTGCGTTGCGCGGTAGTGCAGACCTCTACTATCCTCAGACAGTAGATCTCATTCTGGGAAAGCAGAAACAGTGGCGAATTTACTGTATGATAGCCTAACAGCGTAATGATACCAGTTATAATTCATCGTTTTAACAAAAAAGGAATAAAACGTTACATGTAACTGTTGTTTAATATTACTTAGCAGTCTGTTTAAAATGAATTTGCACTCTTTAGTTCTCTGGCATCTCTTTTTACCAATATGCTGATTAATGCCTTTAAAGCTTTATCATCATCCCAGGCCTTATTGGACTGTATTCATTCTGTTATTTCTGATTCAGTGATTTTTGCTGATATCGGCCCAATTATAATACCTGCTATCAGTGCAGTCAAGTCAGTACTGATTAAGATATAATGATAATCATCAGATTTATCTGCTCAGGGGGACGAGGTCCAAAACACAACCGATGTTACACAGTGTTCTTTCACATGTGTGTTTTGCACTTTGTACCAGAGAGGTCTCCAAATCTGCAAAACTTGTGCAAATTTAGGAAAGGAACTCGCATGTATTTTTTTCTTGCTTTATTGAAACATAACAGTGAAAATCACACATTACATAAAAGATTTGAAAAGAAGTCTCCAGTCTTTTGACAGGCAAGGTATGTGTTGATGAATGATAGACCATGCCAAGCAGACAGTTTAGTCTCTTGTCTCTGTCTCTCGCTCTCTCCATTCTTCTTCGTCTTCCCGTTCTTTAATGTTGTTGTCCAGGAGCAGATTAACAAGGTGGTGCTGACAGGGCTAGAACTGGATATTAGAAGGCTCCTTCCAGCAATAGCAAAACATGTCTGTAAATACATGTTGAAGATATTTACTTTAATACATGCCGCTGCCAAAGTCCTCTCCCCATGCCACACAGCACATCTAGAGTTAGACATCAGGACAGGCGAAGCTTCAGCAAGCAGTATTGAAGATTCTCAAAGACCAGCTTGGGCAGCTTATGGATGGACAGGTTTTGTCCTTGTCTGAGCAAAGGGCCTCTCAGATACATGCTTTTAAATCTTGAATCTGTCGCTGTCAAAGCATGGTGGAAAAGTAATTAGAGTAGAAGATGGACAGATTGTGTGGTGGGGGAGGGTGGGCTGAGTAAGACAGGATATGGATGCGACTGTTTCAAATTCATGACTTAAGTGTCATTCTCTGCTTTTTTTTTTTATAGAAGTTAAAAAAAAATCAGCAGTCTTTTGAAGTCTTTTTTTCCCCTTCCCCTCCCTTTGCGTTCATACCACAACAGACAGTGTAGTTTCATTCTATCTCACTATCTGTCTGTCTGCTTTGTGAGCAATGGTTTCGTTTGGATGACTTTCGAAAGCAATTTATCCCCCTTCGGTCCAAGTTCTCTTCCACACAGTTTAATCAAAACACCCAGACGGTGGTGTGTGCGTGCGTTTGTCTGTGTTTTATACATTTTCAGGACCCTGATGTTGTGACTTTGTAGGAAACCAGAGAAAAACAGCTAATCTAGATCAACAAAAACAATGTTTTTTTCCTCTCTCTTTTTTTCTTCAAAGTCACTATGTTTGTGGGCCCTGAAGATGTATGAAAGTCATACAGTTTATTATTTATTTATTTTTTAATCTAATTTTTCCATTTTCAAATTGTCAGTTCTACCCGCTAGCTAGGTCTCTACACATCATGCGGTGTTAGCAAGCTTGGAGAGTGAAGGCATCTTTTCAGACTTTTCAGCCAATGCAACATCATCAAACAGCTCAATGTGCTTTGAGGAGAACACTAACGGCCAATTCTGTTACATTAGCTAATAGACGCCCGTGCTGGCTAGCATCGTGCTGGGTGCGGGTGGAAGAGTCTTACCCACCCAGAGAGAGCAAGACCATACGCTCTCTTGGACTCCTAACCATGGATGGCTGTGGCATCGCCAGGGATCAAACTTGTGATCTCCCGACAATAGGCCGAGCGATTAGACAGTCAGAGCCGCTCAGGAGCCTATAAAGTGCTTTTTAAAGACATCTGCGGATTTCGTATTTGAAACTAAAAACACAGAAACAAGAAAAAAACAATCAAAACTGAATTTCCCCCTTTTTTCACAAAGGAATTTGAAGTAATGTGTAAACATTGTTACGTTGTCAAAATGCACCATTCACTCTCCAGTCCATGTGTGAAATCTAAGCTGTAAAAACAGCCCATTTGGAGTTTTTTGTTAATGTGATGTCACAAGAACCAACAATTTTCCATATGTCAGCCTATTCAGGCTACAGCAGTTCAGCTTTGTCTATTCATAATGAAGTTCTAAGGAGTGTTCAGCTCTGGATTATTTAGGCACAGTAACAAAAACAGCCTGTTTAACTCTAAGGGATAAAGAGAGATGGTCATGGGAAAATGGTCATGTAAGAATGAATTATGACAGCTTTTGTTACATAAAACCACACAAATGTGGGGAAAAAATAAAGCACAAAAATGTAGGAAATGGACCCTTTAAGGTTAAGGGTTAGGAAATTCTTACTACATGTGGATCCTTAATATATGTAGTATGCGTTACCATTTCAAAGTTGATCACTGTTTTCCTTCATGTTAAAAACATTTTTGCAGATACATAAATAATTCTAGTATGATTGTGCCATTCCACAGCTTCACAGGTTTGGAATCAGTTGAGAGGAAGATGTGTCTGGAATTTAAATGTAGAAGATTCCATAATAAGAAACTTGGCTTATTAAAGAATTAATAAAAATTACATTAACTACATAATTACAGTGTAGTGTTTATTATTTAATAGCCTCTTGATGTTTCCACAAAAATGTGAAAAATAAAATGTTTTAAAATAGCTTCTGTTATCTGGCTTATAATATTTAAGTCTACACTGTAAATGTCATTATTGAATAAAACAAAAGCAAATATATGACAAGTTATTCAAGACTTTTGAATGGTAAAATATATGGGATATGTGTATGACCCCATCCTAAAAATGCATAGAAGTTTGTGTGTGTGTGTGTGCGCGCATGCTCTGCCTCAGACCACTGGATGGACTCTTTGCAGATTATGGGTCCTGCTGACAAAGGCCAAAACTCAAAGGAAAAGGAAAAAAAATGGTTTAAAAAAGAAACGGAAATGGGTTAGCCGCACACAATGTCTTGAAGTGACCTGCGGTATTCTTCTGAGTAAACAGCCAGAGTTTAGGGAAGAGCATGTGTTTAAGTGGCATCCTTTGAAGTTGGCCTAGATTGTTTATGATAAATAAATGGAGGTCGGAGTGGGAGGGGAAGTTTTGGAGGGGTGGAGGAGGTGTCTCGCCAAGAAAGGAGGAGACTTAAGGCCTTGCATTGTTTTATTTTCGCAGATTGAGCACCCCAGGTATTTGCGCGAGAACCCTATTCCCTTGTCTCCGGTAAGTGCCAAAACCCCCTAGTGGAAGGGGGCAGGAAGAGAGGTCACTTTGATCCTTTCCAATGAATTCCTCTCACATCTCTATCTCTCTCTCTCTCTCTCTCTCTGTTTCTCTATCACTCTCTCTCTAATAGATTCACCCGAAATCAAGCCTAAGAAAAAACAGCCCCTGTACTGATGAACAAGCTTCAGTTTTCAAACCAGATAAGGAGGTAGGCACCACAAAATAAGACCCACTGTTCCTCACCAAAATGTACTAAATAGGTGTATCTCAATCTGGTTCTCAGGGCATCTCAAAGTCCACATTTTTGCCCAGAGATAGAGCAAAAACCTAGACACACTATATTTTATATAACCTTTATTTAGACATTGCAACAATAGCAGAACCTTTTTTGATTCTGTGTAGAATCATATACAACACAGTCTTCTATATAGAACCATTTTCAAAAAGATTCTCTATAGAACCATATACAACACATTCTCCATCAATTTGAAGAACCATGCAAAGAACTGTTTAAGCATAATATGTTTCTATAACAGAACTCATGGTTCTAAATAGAACCATTGCCTTTAAGTCCCGTTGAAGAACCATTTTTTAAGTGTGTGCTTTATATAATTTCCAGTCAAAATGGCCATTAGGACCAGGTTTTCCAGCATCACGGGAAAAAAATATGTTTAACAGAATTTTACCCAGAAGGAAAATTTCCAGGATTTATTGTGTCCACTTTTTGCCTCTGTTATAGCTTCCATTCTTTTCAGGAGACTCACTTTCAGTTTTTTATAGAAATCTACAGGTATTTTTTCATACTTTCAAAGTTCAGTCTTAGAAATTGGTTGCATTTTCTGCTTCCCACAATCCAAGTAATCCCACATTCACCGATGTAGAAATCTGGACCCTAGAGTGGTCAGTCCTGGTAAGTCCAGTGTTCTGAGAACACCAGCAGCTTATTTGTGATTTGCACATTTCCTTTTCTCAGTAACGATTTCTTGACAGTCCTTTCAGACTCAGAGCTTCTCACATTGAGCTGTCTTCTCAGGGTAAAGTATGGACAGAAACACCAGTGGATTTTTTTCATATCTGAAGCAAAAATAGAGCTTAATTTTTCATCTCATCTTTAAAAAAGATGAAAAATGTAAGTACTCTTCATCTGATGATGCCAGTTTTGATGGTCCAGAGATCTTGCATAGTTGTTAGGAGCAAAATTTTGTATTTTAATATTAGTTATTAGTATAGTATTTAATATTAGTATCCAGTTTTGGGAATTCTTTTTTTACTCCAGTTTTTCCTTTGACTGGATTATCTTATGTCTAAACTTCTAAGAAATATCTCCTGAAAAGAAATAGTTACTGTTTGTTTTGACTGGAAATTAAATAAATGAGGGGCAGTCTCTGACTTTCCACAGTGCTGTATGAACTACTCTGTACAACATTGAAATGAGTGGTAAACAGCTTTGAACAGCTGCATGGAAACAAGCACCTACCCACTAGTACCATATTTGCAAATGAGACACCTAGATTTGCCCTCATATATACAGTACTGTGCAAAGGTTTTAGGTCTGAGAATATTAGATTTAAAAGCTATTCATTGGGGCAGTGAGCTTTTATTTTCTCAGTGCTTCATTATGTTAAATCAGTTATTTTTAGCTCACCAGCTATCAGCTGTGTTTTTTAAATATAAGAAACTCTTATTACCTTTATGCTGCATGTATGTTTTTATTATTATTATTATTATTATTATTAATAATAATTGTAATGATATGTACTGTTTTCACAGCTTATAATTTTTTTTGCAACTAACAATTTTGCACAATAGTAATTTGATAGGAAAGCATTCAGCACTGGTCATCCATTAATTAAAATTCTACCTCTTTAATGCGCAAGCACAGCCCTGAAATCTCTTAGAATTGCTAAATCGGTCATAAATACAAGCCTGAAACTCATGCAAGCCTGATCTTAGCTACGCAGTGGCTCAGGACTAATGAACCCCTAAAGACTGAAGTCTACAAATTTGCTAATTATACACATAATAATGATATTTTGATAAGATATTGATAACATTTGATTATTTAACTTCAAAATATTAGGGTAAAATTTAGACAAGGTTTCTCATACAGATATGGTAAAGACTGCACTATACACAGTTTTGAAGAACAAGGGCTAGTGTGTTGTAATCAGAGTTCATCTGAGGATTTCTACTGAACAGCCCCCTTAACTTTGTACCGATTTCTTAACATGGCATTTCTGAACCACTTCGAACTTGTTGAGGTTTGGCGTGACTTTGCAGCCTCTAGCTAAACGCCAGATGATAGTCGGTTGCATTTTATATACACTTGAAAAGCCTAGACGCTGAAAGGAGGTTTGGCTGACGCACCTTGGTGAAATCCGTCCCCTCTCCTTGAGTTTTTGCTTGTTTTTGAGACACTGATCCCAAACGGCCTTTTAAGAGACTCACAAGAAAAAGACAGTGTTGTGATGACAGGTTTTTTTTTCCTGTTATGTTGGCTTAAGCTGCAAATCCCATAGAGGCAGCTTCGCTTTGATGTTGCTTCTCGCTTTCTCGTCTGGTACTGTTAAATATAAAACTAGGCATGACCTGCCTTAATCACCCACCCACCCCTCTTTGCTTTTCCTTTGGAGGAGAGCTTCTCTCAGTTTGGTCTGCTTGAGTCACAAACCAGCCATTAATCCACCAAAAACAATCAGCAGTGTCCTTCTTCATGATAACCCACAGCTTGCCCAACAATGGTGATTTGGCATTCTTTAATTTTGAGAGCTGCTGTTGTGGCCGCTTTGTTGCTCAGATTGAGCCCAGAGATGAAACAGAAATGGTGCAACAAATAAGCTTGCTGGCTAACGTTCAGGCATACATTAAGGCAAGTTATTTGAAGCCATACCATAAAAGAACCATATATGGTTTCCTAAAGTATGATTTCTACAAGTTGTTTTAAAGACACATCCATGGAAAAGTTCTTCAGGGAACCAACAATTTGTTCTTCTGTGGCATTATTCCAACAAAACCATTTTGGCACCATTACTTTTAAGAGCGTACACCCTGAATGGCAGTGTTCAGCAGCCCTCCTCCTGCAGATTTGCTTTCCTGCAGAGTTTAGTTCCAACCTGCATCTAACATACTGCCACCCATTACCTAACACTAATGCATGTGATCCAGCCAAAGACTTCCAAAGAAGTTCAGTTGCTGGAGCAGGTGTGACCGATTGTGGTTGGAACTACATTCTATAGGAAGACAGATCTTCAGGGCCAGGGTTGGTGACCACTGCTTATATGTGTTGTGTGTTGAATAGGGCCAGAATGATATAAAAATTAGCAGCTGGTACCGATACTGATTTATGGGCACGTCTAAAGCCATTAATATCAGCTGATATAATTTTTATTGATATTTTCAATTTTAACTTTAAAGCAATAGCTTATTAGTTAAAACGTGCTATTCTGACTGATATTCTTGTAAGTTCTAAACTTAAACAACAGACACTCAGACTCATAAATAATAGAAATATTGTAGCACTGTAGATGGAGCTGCCCAAAATTCCTTGAGGTTTTGATTTATATTAATGATCCCTTTTCTTATTTTTCAGTAGTTTTCATTACTCTTAAAAAATGGTTCTTGTGTGTCAATTCTGAGTACATTATGATATATTAAGAGCTCATCACTCATTGTTTAACTATATGACAGCATTACAGACTGATTTGGTAAATCTGAACACAAAACAATAAATAACAAACAAAAAAACAAATCCCTGCAAAACTGCTGATAGTAAATATTGGCTGATATTGTAGTCCAACCAATATATCGGTCAGGCTCTAGTGTAACACCGTGCTGTAACTCTTGAGACCCAGCGGCCCTCTTGTGTTTATATTGAAGCTGCAGAAAAAGCTCTCTCATAAGGTTGAGAAAGGTGAGTGAAAAGTTCCTCAGAAGCCACTGGGCTTTCATGAGGGGAAATGGTGCATGACTTGGCTTTTACTGCCTATGATTGAAATGGCAGCGATGTATTCAGGGGGGTTAAGGGAGGCGAGTGAGGTTACACTGCTGCACACTGTTTCCTGTACTCATCTCTAGTCCCTCTTCTGCCAAAAGACCCCTCTAAAGACAGATTTATTCTGCTACCCCCATTTCTTTTCCAGCTTTTTTTCAGTTCTTTTTGGAGTAAAAAAAAAATTCTCTCTGTTGTATCTCTCTCTTTCTGTCTCTATGGCTCTCTCGCACCCACACTTTCACATTGTCTCTATTTTTCTAATTAGGTTCGTTTCTTCTGACAGTGTTTGAAATAGGCTAGTGGCAGTGGCCCAAGAGTCCAAGCAGCAGTGTCACCTGGTATTTGCAGCTGTGTAAATATTGATTAACTATAATATTTTTTCATGGCAGATCATACACAGTCAAGTCACATTATTATGACCACCAGCTAATATCCAGAGTAACCGCCATGTGCAGCACGTACAGCAGCTAGACAGGCTGGGAGTGACTCAGTAAGGTCCGGGTAGGTTGTCACAGGTATCTGGAGCCATGCTGACTGCAGTGCATCCCACAGCTGCTGGAGGGAGCTTGGGGGAGGATCCATAGAACGAACACAACGATCGAGTTGGTCCCACAGATGCTCAGTTGGGTTCAAGTCTGGGGAATTAGGGGGCCAGGGTAGTATTTAGAAGTCTTGGTCATGCTCTTCCAACCAATGTCGGACATTTCTAGCCGTGTGACGTGGCATTGTCTTGCTGGAAGAGCCCATTGCCCCCAGGGAAGACAATCAGCATGTATGGGAGTACGTGATCTGAAAGGGTAGATTCATACCCAAATCGGTTGAGAGTGCCTTCTACATGGATGAGAATGTCATGAAAACGTTCCCCAGACCATAACGCTGCCACCACCAGCTTGTTGGCATGAAGTGGTCATAATAATGTGACTCGACAGTGTAGAAATCAAAGAAAACGTAGACCTATAGGAAAACATATAACCAGAGTTTGTTAGGGTTAATTATTTTTCATACCATCATTCAGACCCCAAATATCACACCAGGATTTTTCCAGCAGAGAGGAGCGCCGACACCACTCTGCATCACTTCTTGAGATTTGAGTATTCATCCTCTGAACCTGTAAGTTTTCCCTGGACCTGAACCTGGCTAATATAGTAGACATATGATGAACTTTTTAGCTACATTAGCCTGGTAGCTGCAGTACAAGATTAGAGGGTGAATTATAC